GGACCTCCGTGGCTGAGGTTCTTTCTTTAACTACCCTGCACAGAAAAGGACAGTGAATACAATGATCGAAAAATCACGTGAAACAGGAATCAGAAAGGGGCTCATTGGAGAAATTTTAGGATTTTAACGCAGCAGTTCTGCCAGGCTTTGCTCGTAGTTTTCGGCTCATCCGTCATCTCTCTTACTCCGATTTAGCCGCAAGAGTATTCAAAATCAAATTCTGAGCGGGTAGAGGAAATTTTTACTTTTTTTGCAGTTGGCATTGGCTCTGGTGCGGCGACGATCGGCGATCGGTCTTCCTCTCCAACATCTGGTTCTTCTTCTCCGGTAAGAGCTGACGACTAGGGTTTAAATTCTCGTGTGATGCAAAGTATTTATAACCATCTCGCATTAATCTAGACCGTTCATTACGATTGATCTCGTCCGTCTAATTATGCCTAAGGAGGAAATAAATATGAACCGTTTTTCGTGATTGATCTCGATCATCCGATTGCATCTAATGAAAAAACGAATTCGAATCGTCCATACGTGCGGGATCAATCCTGTGTCGTCCGATCGCGGGGCACGCGGATCACTAATGTGGCCTCTCACGTGGCACCAATGTCAATGCACCTTGCCACGTGGTGGACTCCGGTTCATCGAGACTGTTGACTGGACGTTCCTACATAGCTAAACTTTTTCTATTTGTACTTTGACACCTGTTTCTAATTTTTCTTTAAAAAACACCTCTAAAACCTAAATTTTCACCAATTTTTCTCAAAATTATTTTCAGTCTCATCCTTAATTCATTTTTTCTCAAAATTCTACTTAAATAAAAATAAAATAAATTAATCAATTGTTTTAAATTAATAATTAAAGAATAAAAAATTTATTTCGGGTCATTTTTCGGGTTCAGATATTACAACTATTCCTCTCTTAAGAAAATTTAGTCCCTCAAATTGGTCATTCTCTCACTCAGTCGAATACCTGCGGATACTGGGCCCTAAAGCTTGATTCTAGTTTCCAAGTGGCCTCTTCCTACGTATGGTTCTGTCATAGGAACTTGATGAATTGAATTTCTCAATTGTGGAATACCTTACTCTTCTGGTCTATAATGTCTACCGGTACCTCCTCATATAATAGATCCTCCTAAAGTAAAAAGGGTTCATAGGACAAGATGTGTGAGGGATCCAAGTTGTACTTGCATAGTATAGATACGTGAAACACAATATGAATCTTGAATAGCTCTGGAAGTAGTGTCAATCTGTAGGCACTCATACTAATCCAGTATAACATCTCAAATGGTTCGATGAACCAGGGATTTAACTTTCTTCTCTTGTCATAGGACAAGATGTGTGAGGGATCCAAGTTGTACTTGCATAGTATAGATACGTGAAACACAGTATGAATCGTGAATAGCTCTGGAAGTAGTGTCAATCTGTAGGCACTCATACTAATCCAGTATAACATCTCAAATGGTCCGATGAACCAGGGATTTAACTTTCTTCTCTTGTCAAATCTACTGATTCTTTTGAAATGAGTGACCTTAAAAAACACTCAATCACCTTTCTCAAATTTTAAATCCCTCCTCCAGGAGTCCGCATAACTTTTCTGTCTACTCTAAGCTGTCTGAATGTTCTTCATGATTTAACTATCTTAGTTGTAGTCTTCACCACAAGATCTAAGTCGAATAATTTTCTATCACCCACCTCTTTCTAATAGATCGACGATTTGCATGGGCAGCGATACAATGCCTCGTACGGAACTAAATCGATACTTACCTGGTATTGTTATTATAGGTGAACTCTATCAGAGGTAAGTAATCATCTCAATGGCTCATGAAGTTTAGAACACAAGCTCAGAGAATATCTTCCAGTGTGCGAATCGTTCTTTTTTATTGTCCATCATTTTAAGGGTGGAATGCGGTGCTAAAGGATAATTTCATTCCTATGGCGTACTGAAAAGTAAATCAAAATTGAGAAGTGAACATAGAATCTCTCTCGGATACCATTGACATTATAACTCTATGTAATTTGACTATCTCTCGGATATACATTATTGCTAGCTTGTTCAAGGGGTCGTTTATCTTGATAGCTAAAAAGTGAGAAGACTTGGTGAGCCAGTTGATAATTACCCAAATGGTATTATGTTCTGAGCGTGCCTTAGACAACCCCGTTATAAAATTCTTTGTGATATATTCCCATTTTCACTCTAAGATTAGTAATTACTGAAATAATCCATCTGAGCGTTGATGCTCTGCCTTAATCTGTTGGCATACTAGACACTTAAAAATAAAGTCGACTACTTTTCTTTTCATCCCGCTCCACCAAAACTGAGGTCGTATACTTTGATAGATTTTAGTACTTTCGGGATGTATGGCGAACTTAGAGCTGTGAGCCTCTCTTTCATGATGTCCCTTTTTAGTTCATTGTTATCTATAACACACACCTTGTACTAAAACCTGAGCAATCCATCGGCAGAGACTCGAGATTTTAGATGTACTCCTTATTCTACATCTTTCTTGAGGGCGGCTATCATGGAATCGGTTAATTGGGCTTCTCTTTTTCTCTGAATCAATTCTGGTTGGATAGTCAGGTGAACCAAACATGCAACTCTCTTTAAGTCCTGAAGTTGTATTTATTGTGTAATTTATATTACTATGCATTTAGAAATCATTATGTGAGCTAACATATCTGCACTTTTTCTGCTGAGCGCGTCAACTACTACATTGCCCTTGCCCAGGTGATACAAGATATTACAATCATAATCTTTGAGGAACTCTATCCAGTGCCTCTGATATATGTTCAAATCCTTCTAAGTAATATGTGCTTCAAGCTCTTATGTTCAGTAAAAATCTCAAAAGTCTCTCCATATAGGTAGTGACACCGGGTCTTCAAGACGTGGATAATGGTGACAAGTTCTAAGTCATAGGTGGGGTAATTTTTCTCATAACACTTCAACTGCTTGAACCCATAGGCTATAACCTTGTCATGATGCATTAGAATACAACCCAACTATAGGTAGGAGGCATTACTGTACACTGTATATTTACATGTCCCACTCGGTAAGGTCAATAAGGGTACAGTAATCAACCACTTCTTGAGTTATGTAAAACTCATTTCACAGTCCATTTTCTATTCAAACTTAACATTTTTTTTTAT